ATATAGAGGAGGACGAGGAAGTGGAGGACATGGATGAGAAAGACAACCGAAAAGAACAACAAGAAAAACGCCAAATATTTTCGTGCACTATCGGTTGAATGGTAACGTAAAATTGTTGACGCGCAAATGCCATATTCGATTCAAGTCTGAAAATTCGAGTTCAAAAATTTGGCGGAAAGCGTTATTGAATATTGCCAAAATAGTGATGCGGTAAATTTAGTAAACGCACTGACCTCATTCGAGAACGAAGACGATGAAGATGATAATGTAAAGAATAAACGAATAAATAAGTACGATGTTTTGCTCAATCGATTTCGTCGATTCACTTCGATTTATGCCAAAAGTCACCTCTACTACCATATTTTTTGCTCATAGATAAATTAGGTTCGTCTTTTACATAGCTTACATATCAACCGGTAGCTGGGGCGAAAAATCGAGTGCTTTTAACTTAGGTTGTTGTTAGTTGCATTTAAAGATCAAAATAGTCGTAGTCGTAGAAACATAGAGCTCGGAACTTGTAGTTGTAGGAAAAATAGCGGTGGTTTTATGTTTCTGTCAATGATAACGTGTCAGTCTACTAAACTTGGGGATACGTGAAGATATGTAGGTTTAAAATTAAGAGTCACCACACTTCGTCTTTTACTGACTGCCAGTCTTCTGAGTCGATGCTACAATAACAGCACCGGTATGTAAAACCCAAAACACTTTTTTAGCGGTGGTACTCTTAGTAATCAAGATTAAGTGGATAATACTAACGCTCTTAAAGACAGGATTTGTAAAATGTATACAAACGATATCAAAATTGGGGTCCAGAGCTTTAATATCCGGTGCAGTACTTCTCAGAAAAAGACACAGGATGGAACAAGGGACTCTTTGCGGCTTGCCACTGTCGCAATCGTAAGTAAATAATCATGGCTTCTTTTTTATTGAATTAATATGCTTAGTTAATGATAAGTAACGCGACGCAAAACGTGCCGCGGTTTTCATCCGCTAGATACATTTTCTGCTACTTGAAGGTAGCAAGAAATAACCATAAAAGCTGAAAATAATCCACCTTGCTAAGGGTTCACTACCGCTGTATATTGATTTAACACAGGCTAATTACAGTGTAGACGCTTCAGAGAACTTTAGAGTATCCAAAGTGGGATTTCCTTAAAACGTAGGAAATGTTCTTTATCTTATTGTATGGTACAGTTAAAGTTCTCTCTTTTCAGCTTCAACCTCATCCTTTCGTTAACGAGTGGATTTACTTAAACTGAGTCAGTTCTAGCCAACCTCTTGATTGTAAATTTGTTCGAGCTGTCTTTTTGTAACGCCTTAGAAGTGTAATTCTCTTAAAACTCGACATGCACATACTGAACTTGAGGTACAGTTGTAGTTGAATCCCAAACTGCTTTGAAACAATATTAAAATATGGATTGACTCTGATAGTTATCTCCTTAAAGTATTGATTTGTAAACTCTATAGAATAAAGTAACATATATCGGCTATAGTATTACTTATGATATTTTTGCAGAAGAAAGACGAGGCTTTGAGAATAACCACTTTAAATGACAACAAAAATAAAAATACTTTTTTCTCAATGCTAGAAAGAATCACCTTTATCGTAGTTGTATTATAGGACATAAATCCAAGGGATAGCGCAAGTCCCTATAGGAAGAAGCGCACTGATGTATAAAAAACCATTCGGAAGTGCAAAACCGTGCCCTAGCGAAAATAAAAAGTCTTTCAAAGTGGATTGCCTCTACCACGAAATTTCGAATTTTACGTCTGATATCGCCGTAAGGCATTCCAATAGACCATTGGATTACACCCACCTGGATTACTACACTATTAAATTAAGCTCGGCATTCCTGGAGCTATACCCAATCTGTGTAGCTGCGATTGCTATGCTAAAATGCACATATATGTAATATAACGTCGAAACATGACGCATCCAAAAAAAAAGAAAACCTGCCCAATAGCTGCCCATTCAAGCTAAACTCGTTCAAAATACACGAATAGAGCTACATATGAAGGTACGAACAACTTAGTGCCAATAGGGTCATCACTGAGAGACATTTAAAGTATGAACTAATGGTTAACACAGAAACAAGACCTTACAGTGCGTCCAGCCAAAATGTACATTTTTTGTTACAAAATCAAACGCAACGATGAACGGTTGCAACAACGGCCGAAGGTGCCTTTTTTTTTTACCAAACAGCGAACAAGAGCTCAATAGGTACATGAAAGACACGATTTGTCAGTATTGCAAACAATAACGTTAGATGCTTAAGTTTAATTTAATAACACAATCTTATAACTTAGTCTATATTTTTAGTGGCCACAAGCATAACGTTATGCCTCAGCGCACACCTTTCGTGGTAGTCAAACTCTATTCTTAAATTCATTTCATTAATATTTTCTTAACGCGCTACGATAAATTTAATGATGAGCTGTTAGCTAATTTAGATACACCTCACAATAATTGCGCAACAATAGCTAAACTAAGATTTTAAGTAGATAAAATTTTAACATTTTTATTTAACATTTTCGCCCCAATTAAGTGCGGCGAAAAGCTTTACCCTTGCAGTAAGCATTGAGAAAACGCTCTTCAAAGAAACCAGTCTCCGTTGAACAAATTCTTAATAAAGGACCGCTTGCAATTAGTATTTTGATTACTATTATTTTTTTTGCCGGTTTTCCGAAAAAAATATATTTTTATTATTATTATTATTATTATTATTATTATTATTATTATATGATTGATAAGTTTAATTTTTTGTCTTTTTGGGATTTGCTTCAAATTTTTTGTTTCATATGGTGTCAGCATGTGGTCAGTGCTCTTTTAAGGTTATATATTTTCCTCAGAAACCAAAATCGAAGAAGAAGCCAATGCTCTCTTCAATAGGCAGAATCATTTAATTTTCTACTATAATCTAGACTGGCTGCATCAGCCGAATTGTAACGAAAAAAAAACTACAAAAAGTCCTTTCGGGATTTCATCCGTATGCAAGTGGTTTTTATGTGTTACAGTCTAGTCAATCAAATGCACCGAGTATGTCAGTGACTGTCCGATATCGGAGACGTTACAAATACGCAGTTTTCTAAAGCTATATACCGCGTACTTAGGGAACGACCTCTATCAATCACACTGCTTTGTTTTTCGATGTCTTTAGCGGCCCGTCAACGATATGAACGTGTCCGCTCGTAAGGCTCACGAGCGCTTCGTTGCTCGCAGTTGTAATTCGGTCTGAATGGCTTGCATCACATAGACTAGAAAGAGAACAAGGAAGCCTCGGTGCTGCAATTCCACATTATCAAATAATTTAGGTTGCTTGCGCCACATTTTCTGTACCGTGCTCATGGGTTAAAACATCATTTTATAATCCTGGAAGTAAGAAATATAATATACTAGTACATGCAGTTGTTAAGAAAAAAGACAGTATTTAAAGGGAATATACGTAAAACGAGGAAAATATTTACGCAATGTAATAGCATGTTGATGTCAGCAACGTATTCTGAAAATCAAATGTCCCAATTTGAATGAATTTACATTTCGTTATTGCACAGAAAACAAACATAACGTATAAGATAAGAGTCGCGTTTAAAGGTGACAAAAGTTATCTCTGTGACGGACCACATTGAAACTCTTTGGCATATGATCTGTTAGAGAAGAACTGGGTAACACGATTCTTGGCTTACATGAATTAGAAAAATCATATTTCAAATTAATACAAATATACAAATAATGTGTTGGCTATTAAGCGTACCGCCAAGTATGCTCCATTAAAACTGGCTAGATGTACAAAAGCACTATTTGACTTGCCTGGCCCAGATACACACACATATTTATAAATAAAAGCGCACTATAAACGTGATAATCAAGAGGGAGTCCGTATGATGCGCTCCATGTTTTTATCGTATTTTTTTCAGCTGCTGCAGGATGCCACAATTGAGCGTTGATGCTGTCAGTGGGTACACGTCCAGGTGTTCCTAAGGCGACAGATTACGTACCAATAACAACGATAATTACGTCCATCAAATTGACACTCTGCTTCGTCTGTATAGCTTGGCAGACCACGATTATCTACTTTTACAGAGGAAGCAAGGAAGGCATGGAAATCTTTTTTGTGAGTATATGTAGCAGCTGCAGCAGCAGCCCTAATGTCGGTGGGATAGTTTTTCCTGCAGGAGTTGTAAGTGTAACCAGCCAATGTTTATTTGTTTGTTCCTCATTTGCCGTCGTCTACCACGACTGTTTCTATCGACGCTCCCGCCGTGAGGTTTTAGCAGGCAGTATCGCGGCTCAGTTGCATGTCTGAGCATCTGTGTGTTTAAGGTCTACTTTATCGCTCTGGCTCAAAGGAAAAGGAGCAGTGGATGATGACTCTACCATGAATTAGTGTATTCATAAATATCATTGACCATCAGCAGTAGTTAAGGCAGTAGCAATCTCCATGGAGCTCGGTATGACCGTTTACATCTTCATTATAACTAACGCAATTGAAATGCCTTCATCTAGTGTAGGCGTCCATTTGAGAACATGACAGATTGCAACGCTTCAACGGGATAGACTTCACTTCCGCTTGAGTCCCAGAGAAACTTTATAATTGCACCCAGTGATATTAGTTATATATGGCCAGTTATATAAGGGAACACGCATCGGGTGATTGATTACCCATCTGACAGCAGATATTTAGAAGCAGATATCCTGG